CACGCCCCCTCCGGGCGCCGCCGCCGCCATGAGCGGGGGGGGGGAGGGACCGGGACCCCCCCCGGGAGCGAAACCGGGACCGGAACCGGCACCGGCACCGGGACCGGCACCGGGACCCCCCCCCGGGGCCGAGCGGGGCGGGCAGCGCGTGCGGGGCCGCGTGCTCGCGGCCTGGAACAGCGTCAAATACGGTGGGAACCGGGACACCGGATACCGGGAGACCGGGACACCGGGACACCGGGATACCGGATACCGGGAGACCGGGATATCGGGAGACCGGGACACCGGGATACCGGGATATCGGGAGACCGGGACACCGGGACACCGGATACCGGGAGACCGGGATACCGGGATACCGGATACCGGGAGACCGGGATATCGGGAGACCGGGACACCGGGATACCGGGATATCGGGAGACCGAATACCGGGATACCGGGAGACCGAATACCGGGAGACCGGGATACCGGGACACCGGGACACCGGGAGACCGGGATACCGGATACCGGGATACCGGGATACCGGGACACCGGATACCGGAGACCGGGACACCGGGAGACCAGGATACCGGGATACCGGAAACCGGGACACCGGGAGACCGGGATACCGGGAGACCGGGATATCGGGACACCGGATACCGGGATACAGGGATACCGGGATACAGGGATACCGGGACGGGACACCGGGATATCGGGACGCCGGGATACCGGGACCGGGACACTGGGATGGGAACAGGGAGGCACCGGAACACCGGGCACCGGGATACCGGATACCGGGATACCGAGAGACGGGGACACCGGGAAGGGGAACGGGGATTCGGGAGTACCGGGATTTGGGGTGCCGGTATCCGTGATTACCGGGGTTGGGGTCCCGGTATCCGGTGTTACCGGGGCTGGGGGTGCCGGTATCCGGTGTTCCCGGTATCTGATACTCCCGGTACCCGGTGCTCCCGGTATCCCATGTTCCCAGTATCCGGTGTTCCCGGTATCCGGTGTTCCCGGTATCCGGTGTTCCCGGTATCCGGTACTCCCGGTACCCGGTGTTCCCGGTATCCGGTGTTACCGGGGTTGGGGTCCCGGTATCCGGTACTCCTGGTACCCGGTGTTCCCGGTATCTGATACTCCCGGTATCCGGTGCTCCCGGTATCTGGTGTTACCGGGGTTGGGGTCCCGGTATCCGGTGCTCCCGGTATCCGGTGCTCCCGGTATCCGGTGTTCCCGGTATCCGGTGTTCCCGGTACCCGGTTTTCCCGGTATCNCACGCCCCCTCCGGGCGCCGCCGCCGCCATGAGCGGGGGGGGGGAGGGACCGGGACCCCCCCCGGGAGCGAAACCGGGACCGGAACCGGCACCGGGACCGGAACCGGCACCGGGAACCCCCCCCGGGGCCGAGCGGGGCGGGCAGCGCGTGCGGGGCCGCGTGCTCGCGGCCTGGAACAGCGTCAAATACGGTGGGAACCGGGACACCGGGACACCGGATACCGGGAGACCGGGACACCGGGAGACCGGGAGACCGGGATACCGGGAGACCGGGAGACCGGGATTCCGGGATACCGGGATACCGGGACACCGGGATACCGGATACCGGGATACCGGGAGACCGGGATACCGGGACACCGGGATACCGGATACCGGGATACCGGGATACCGGGAGACCAGGATACCGGGATACCGGGACACCGGGAGACCGGGACACCGGATACCGGATACCGGGACACCGGGACACCGGGATACCGGGACACCGGATACCGGGACACCGGATACCGGGATACCGGGACACCGGGATATCGGGAACGGGATACCGGGACCGGGACACTGGGATGGGAGCAGGGAGGCACCGGAACACCGGGCACCGGGATACCGGGATACCGGATACCGGGATACCGAGAGACGGGGACACCGGGAAGGGGAACGGGGATTCGGGAGTACCGGGATTTGGGGTTCCGGTATCCGTGATTACCGGGGTTGGGGTGCCGGTATCCGGTGTTCCCGGTGTCTGATACTCCCGGTATCCGATACTCCCGGTATCTGGTGCTCCCGGTATCCGGTGCTCCCGGTACCCGGTGTTCCCGGTACTCGGTGTTCCCGGTACCCGGTGTTCCCGGTACCCGGTGTTCCCGGTACCCGGTGTTCCCGGTATCTGGTGTTCCCGGTACCCGGTGCTCCCGGTACCCGGTATTCCCGGTATCCGGTGCTCCCGGTATCCGGTGTTCCCGGTATCCGGTGTTCCCGGTACCCGGTGTTCCCGGTATCCGGTTTTCCCGGTATTCGGTACTCCCGGTATCCGGTGCTCCCGGTACCCGGTGTTCCCGGTACCCGGTGTTCCCGGTATCCGGTTTTCCCGGTATTCGGTGTTCCCGGTACCCGGTGCTCCCGGTACCCGGTGTTCCCGGTATCCGGTGCTCCCGGTACCCGGTGTTCCCGGTATCCGG